CTGCAAGACTTGTTTTGAATGGCTGTGGAGGAACTCTCTGAGGAATAGCTTAAATTCAGACATCATTGATAAATTGAACTAGGCAATTCACCTCAGCATTAATTGGCTAGCCATAAGAGCACCATAAACCTCGTATTTCTCTGCAGCTTCTGCTACCTTCAACAATTGTTCAAACCCTAGTTTATCAAGACAAGGATGTCTTTGCGGATAGACAAATTGGAACAAGATCTCCAATGTTGGGGATGATTCTGATAGCCGGATTATTTCACCTAGACTTGAAGGAGTCTCAGCGGGAGGAAACCCGCCAGTGGCAAATTCTAAGTAGCGTTTGTGAACATGAAAGTCGACGTTATCGGAGGATCGGAATACGACATCGGCATCTGAGGATTGGACTTCTAGTTGTGATCCGTTTTGCATGAAATGATAGATGATAACGATATGTTTCGTCAAGATCAGGCAAAGGTCGAGGAAGTGGAATACATACACCGTTTACTAGTGCTTACGACAATTAGAGGACTACCTGATGAATAATCTTCTGAATTATCCATTCCCTGTCTATACGAATGCGTCCCGAAGTACCGAGAGTTTCCAAATGCAAGGGCTCTGCCGTCTTGAAGTTGAGTCGATTTTGAGTATCAGTTAAGAACCGAAGAAAAGAAGGGAGTGAAATCTTCGTGATTGGATTGTAGGTGATTTGTGGGGAAAATAATCACCCGGGGTCAACGAGAACTGCACATGATTCCTTCACAAACAATATCATTTTATCAAAGTAGAACTTGTTCACCGCAACCTCACAGTTGCCAAATTCTCCGGCCCAACGGAGATCATGAATTATAGATAGCCGTGATAGGTTCATACTGTTATAAAGGCTTGAGGAGGGATTGACATTCTTTGCATCATGTAGTCGTGTAACAACATCTTAAAATCTAGACAATCAGTCCTAGTTGGAATGCGAGCAGCCTGGGCTCATATCAACATTTCCTAAAGAAGCCGTGATAAGCCTTGCTTTGCCCTGCCGTGGTCAAAGGCTGGCTATGTTTGTCCTCTGATTATTTCCTATCGCTAAATAATTCAAGCTAAGAGAGCCAGTAAGCATATGTACAACTTCCGCAGAGAACGGGAAGCACACTTTCAATGCTCAAGCAGAACTGTTACGGTAGGTAGTACTCAAGTCTCTAAGCCTCTCTAGGATAGATGCCTAAGACACTAATACCGTCAGTCATTTAAATGAGAAAACTCCGCTGAAGTTGGATATTCATACTTGACTGTTTCCTAGCTTCCGTATATTGGTCTCTAATTGGGCTCGCTTATTTCGCTCTCCTAGTAATTAGACTGAAAGCATCATAAGGGCATTCAATCGATGGCTGTTACTTCGGGAGCTAGTAGTTAGCCGTTGTTCACTGCTATGCTTTGAACGAATTGGGGGCCTGAGTGAAAAGCTATTATCGCTACCGGTATTCCTTTACATCGGCATAGTCTTGACACCGTTCGGGGCGAAGTTAGAATATGCTTGCGCTTATAAAGGACGAATAAGAGATTCACATTACCGTCCAATCTTCTGTGCTAAAGCTATCATCATGGTCTTTTTCTCCAAGTTTACACTGTCTTTCTTTGTCCTCCCATTCTTGGCAGTTCAAGGTCTCCCGGCGGAAACTCGTAGTGGAATCGAAATTTGTGATTATATTTGAGATTACTTCAAACGTACCCTCTACTCAAGTGTTAATGGTTTTTAGGTGGTGCTGAAGGCAATGTAAGACTAAGACTACTCACTAATTCGTCCTTCGATGAACATCTCTGACAAACTTTTGCTTCATCTGTTATTTCGATGTTCAGGCCCCGTTCTGTACGTGACATGCTCTTGCTTGCAATTAGTTGCCGCTTGAACTCATGACCACATGATTTACCTGTAGGCCCTCAAGGATTCGCTTGTTGTGGGCCATTGATCAACATAAATGGCACTTCTTACGGAAGGTTGGTAACTTATGGTTATTTCATCGCCCAGCTCACGTTGAACTTGGATGTATAGCAGTTGCGTTCCGGAGCACGGGCCCTGCCCCCTTTAGATTTCCTGAACCACATGGCATACACAGAGGGATATTGCTTGAACTTCAGGATAGTGTCCGTCGGAACATCGCAAGAGCATATCTGCGAACCGGCGGCGCAATTCAATCTAAACATAGGAAATTAGCAGAAATGTACTTAGTCTGTTAAGTAGTAGTGCCGTTACCAAATTTTTAAACCGGTGTCTTGCTACAGTCTTTGAGTTGGAACTCCTGTACGTAAAAAGTTAAAGTGAAGTCATTGTGCACCCTTATTCTGTCGGTAGAAACGTAACGACACCTGAGCGAAGTTTGTCATACTGAGAAGGATTCAATTTACAGCAGTTATGAACGAAAATTCTTTGTTCCGCCAGAATGTGTATTCGAGCACGGTAATGAGGAGTTAGCAAGTCGGTGCCGTCCAGCCACAAAAATGAAACGCCACTATATTTCGGAAGGACCATTGAAATGTCGGGAGTTTGGGGTGATTTCTGCAACACCACCACTATGGTAAAATCAATGCATAAGTAACTCAGGAACAATCATACTTGGTTTAAACGCATAAGTTCATACCTGCAGGCAGGCTTGCGGTTTTTAGTCTGATATCCGAACGTCCTGTGTTGCTGCAGAAAGTTTTCCGACTCCGAATATCCGCATTTGCTACGGGTCCACCTGTGTTACCTTATAAGAAGGACAGGAAATCGAGGAAAACTTCATTCCCTTCGAGTTGTATTAATTGGAAAGAACATACCTTCCACTTTCAACACACTCTCGATATCATGTTATTCAAATTCGCCATTCCTACCGTGTTCGTCACTGTACTATTGTACACTCTCGTTGGTACCGTGGCAGGTGTTCCCCAAGGTGGCATTATCATTCCTTGTAAGTCCTCATCATCAGGTCATGGTAGTTCAAAGAGGCGTAAAATTCACGTTTTCTTTTGCTTAGGCAAAGGCCCTGGCGATAGTGTAAGTCCCTGATCAAGCAGACCTTTCTTGCTTGGCCCTGATCATCTTCTTTCTCTATTTCTTCCACCTTCAAATCCACGTAGTGTGAGTGGCGGTTCTCATAATGATGAGTTTGATGGAACTGACCTCAATCAAACTGTGCAGGCCCTTCCGGTGATCTCTGCTGCCATAACACAGGAGTTTGGGCGTAAGTGATTATTAGTTCCAGAAAACACAGAGTCACTTACACGATGTTTTCACTCCTGGAATATTAGTTGCCAGAATGGTCAGCTCGAATGCACTGCTTGAGCATTGAAAGTACTACCTGCTGTCGCGTGTGCGGCAACGTCGTTATAAATTCTATGCACTTATGTATATGCAATAATGAGCTTGTGAGTTTGAGCAGAATGCCTGCCCTTCTGGATTTAATCAGAAATACATTTGACGTAAGAGGCAATTCGACGACACCAGTCATTGTAGCATGCCCTGCTAGTAATGCAGAGATGCAAGGACAAATATCATAAACAGTGCGACAGGCATGGATGAAACTAATTCCACCCATTCTACAGCTGGAAGCGGGCTGCCACTCGGGTTTTTTCTACGTCTGCTCTCTGGCTATAACGACACCGAACCATCCTTATGCCTGAATCCGAACACGACGGAATTATCCCCAGAATTATCTCCAGTAGTGGAGCCCACAATCCGAGCAGCGTTCCGGGATTTTCTCGAGCAGTTTTCACAAGTCCATCACGTCCGCGTCCTAAGTAAAGGTGTGTCAAGCATCCGCAGGCAGATGAATATGTCCTGCAATTTAAGATTAGAATAAGACAAGCCATTGATCCTGAAGCCCCGAAAATTCATAATGGGTTGAGAATGCACTGAGACGACGATACTACCAGTTGTTGAAGTTAACGTGAACGTTCGCCTCTCTCCAGATGTGCGGTAACATCAATTATTCAGGTGTTCAATGAGAAGAAAAGGAATCAGCCGAATTCCGCGGCTTGCCCCGAGGTGGGTAGTTCCTTGAGCACTTGATCTATTCTCTACTTAAGGTCGACGATTACTACTTAATTATGCGTTGATTCAGGTTGATTCCTTGAATACAGGCTAGAATTATCGCGCGCATTTCGACCACATCTACCCTGCATGCTGCTCTACTCTACTCTTTCTACCACGTCGTGTGAATCATGAAGAAATAAAGGCTAGGATACAAGTCGATTGGGTTTGACTTTGGGGTTGAATGCTAATTGGGGCGCTCCATTCCTGACTTGGAAAAATATTAAAATAATCAGAGAGCCCTGAGCATCGGGCACCTATGAGTGATTTTGCCAAGCTACACAAACTTACCAGATTTGATTTAGGGACAATGGTGCAGGAGATTATGGGCAGGCTGGAATTGATGAATACATCAAAGTGCATAAATGTGTTAACCATTGTAGACTATTGAGTTTGAAGGGATCGGGTAGTGATTTTGATGAAGAAGAGGAGGAAAAGTCTTAATTAAGGTATAATCCTGGACCCATGAATTAATCTTCAATGATTTTGCGAAAGATATTTACTGGTAGTCTTTTTGTCACTGTATTAACCAACCCATCGACAGGTTAAAACAATGCCGGAACGAATCCGCCGGACCGAAAATCGGATATCAAAAAATGAAAAATGAAAAATCAACCATGCCCTTCTCGAGTGCGTTATCCTGAGACGATGGGTTGGCAGACGGAATTGGAACACAAAGAGGCAGCGGGGAAAAATGAAGACGATGAAAAAAACTACAAATGTGTTATGTGGTAGATTTTTGTAACCTCTCAACTTATGTTCCGAACTACTTAACTGTACCAACCACCCTTTGATACAATTTACCACGTCTTTTCATCTCATCTCACAACTTATGCGCAACATTCGTTCGTTCGACATGCTATTAAATTGACTTTCCATTAAGTTGGTGTAATTTTGATAGATTGAATACTGGAAGGCTTGATAAAGATAATTAAATTACCTCGGAAAAATATTAAGCGGTTCGATGGCGTAGTAGGTTATCGCATCTGTCTAACAAATGAAGATAATTATCCTCTTCACAGAAGGTCCCCGGTTCGAGCCCGGGTCGAATCAATCTCTTTTTCTTTGATGTATATACAATGAATGAAGTGTTGTCGATTTTTGTCGCGTACACGTACACGTAGAAACGAGTTCTTTACTTATTATCACCATCCTTCCTCACCACTACGTCGTTCTGTAAAATTACATTCCACGAGCAACTCCACCAAGGAATCTTCAGGTTGATTATAAAAATCGACAAGAACCCAACCGCGTAAACGACATGAAGACTTGATTCTATCCAAAATCCATTTTCCCAACCGAGGATTCATTCCTTCAACTCCCAGTCCCCATTTGGGCCATCCAAACCCTTCTGCGATGGGTTTTGGTGCTGCGAAAGGGAAAGAGGCTGCGGAAGTGTATATGATGGATAATGTTGGATGATTATTGTCGTTGTTGGGTGGTGGAAGAAGGAATTGGGTCGCCAACGAAAGTTTTTCTGGGATGTATAGAAATGAAGGTATTGCGTACCAATCATGAGTCCTTACAACAACATCTTTACATTCCCAAACAAATCCTTCTTTTTCGCTATCTGGCCAATTAGTAGGATGTATTCCGATACCCTCCAACCCATTTTCCCATTCATTTCCATTTCCACCAAATCGACTGAGTAAAACCACTTTTCCACGAACTTCCCCTAATTGCGGTATTCGGTTTTCTAAGAAAAACTGAAGTGGACTTTCTTCAATTTCTTCCCGAACTAGACGAGAAAAGACAGCAGGTGGTGTGTTTGTGTGATCTTCCTGCTTGATAGACATAACGATGGTTTCGCGACAAGAGGTAGGTGAAGTAAGAAACGAGTGGACTGTGGTTAATATTTTTTGGAATGGTGTTTTTTGAGGATATGTTCCGTGGTATGCGGTGAGTTTTCCGTTGATGTTGGACAGTCGGATGTCAATTACTCGTATACCGTTCTCCAGTTGAATTTGGAGGGGGGTTTGAAGTGATTGACATTGGGAGATTGGCCACCCGTAGAATGACATTCTGGAAATTAATTGACTGGAAATTTAGCGCTAGGATATAACACACACACAAATGCAACGCACGTATCATGTGTACCAGGAAGCAAAAGCGAGTATAGTGATACCGTATCAGGTATTTCAGATAAAAACGATCCCAAATCTCGTTTTGGAAAAACAAGAATCTCAGAAAGTTGATTCTGAGTGTAAATCCTCCAACGACAAACCACAGGAAGTTTTCTACTTGACAAAGTCGCCCTCGGTGATATTGGCAGTTTGATGTCGAATTCGGTTTTGGATTCAAAGTATGGTTCTTTGAAGCTGTGGACGGGAGAGAGACTAATAGTACCCTCAATTGGAATATCAACTAGATGCGATGATCCAGGTGAAAATAGGACATGTATATTAGACTTGAAGGTGCATAAAATCTCATCGTTGGTGAAGTTGTGAAAGTGAACCATAGGGTGTGGGAAATATTCCCTGATGGCCGAGGACTACAACAGCGGCAGCGTATAATAAATGTGGTTCACAACCAATGAATTAGATATTAGATGTCAACGAAAGCCTTCTCTGAATTCCTCTCTGCAATCCTAACATTTGCACCCTTTCAGCTCTTTCAATTTGATTCTTCTCATTCCCCGTCGTCTCTCTTGATGTTTTCGATTCCGTCTTCAGTTCATTCTGAACTATTCCCTGTCTTTCCTGCCTGGTCACCTTCACATTCCTCGCCTTAGCCTTCTTACAGTGATACTGCCTCAAAAACCTCGCTTCATCCTCTAGCGTATTGTTCGTATACGAATAGTCAATCGTGAATTCCATCAAGCCTATTGTATTTTTCATTTTTCCCAATTTGTGTAGTGGAATGTATGAGGTGTTGGATGCATTGGAGCTTGGGTAAGGATTGATATTCAGAGTCGATAAGGATGTTGAAGACGGGGAAGATGATGGACCAGGATTCGAGTACGCGTACGGATGTTGGGAAATATGTTTAGAAGAAGTCCGTCCTTCATATCGGATCCGTCGTCGTTTATTGGGTGTCGACGAAGAGCCAGTGTGTGAATGGGAAGAGAGTGACTTGGTGCCAGAATTGAAATTGGGGAATAGATCGTGCAGTGTTGGTACAGAGGAAGAAGAAAGATGGCATTTGGGTGACGTCCAAGTATTGTTGTTGATTTTGTGTGTCTTTGTTGATAAGTAAATCGAAGAAGGAGGAGTAGGGTATGGGTTAGACAGTCTTACATCCGACGAAGGAACAGAGCCGTCGATGTGTTTGCGTTTCAATGAATATTTCGGGTTGGATGAGGAGGATGCAGAGGTGAAAGACTTGACTTGGGAGTTATGGCACGGGAGAATATTCAGATCCCCTCCAAGAGTTCCTTCTTCTGGAATTCTCGGTATCTGTATTTTTATTGCCGGTGCTGGCACTGGTGTCGACGCCATCGCCGACGCCAATTTGGTCGGAGCGATTGGGGCAGAGTCTAACAAACCAACTGACGCAGATTTAGATACAGTGATTGAGGAAAGTATCTTCGCGCCCGGGTTTGGATTCGGAAATTGTTGCAAAAGCTGAAAAGTGCCGTACGGTTTGTTGGAAACTTGTCCAAGTCCATCATCATCATAGGACTCAGGGCATACATCTTTAGGATTAACCGTACCCAGGGCATTGAGTGTTCCGAATGTACCCTGTAATTGTGGATCGTCCTAGAAAAGAAAAGAAATACGTTACTAAGTCCGCACGACCGAGAGAAAAGAAAAGTAGAAAATGATAATGAAAGGATAGAATGAGGAACCGAAGGGAAACACTGTTATAGGATTTCCGAATGCTCACCTCGACGATACCTTCGCAACGATCATGAACCCCTTCAACGTGAGCATCAAATGGCATTAAGGGATGAAACCAGGCTACGTCTGGAGATTGCGCCACTGGGGTATTGTAGAAAATTCTCGGGCACGGAGAACAAGAAAAGTCATCCGGTGACAGCGATTTCACGAAATCCATATCCATGGTGTCCATAGTATCTAAAGTCTCCCATGGCAATACTATAGGCAACGCTATCGGCAATTTGATATTAGATTGCAGATCGAAAGGCCACTCGGTGTCGAATTCGAGGACTTCACGGTGTTCAAAGGATTGTGTCGACATTCTGGTGAGGGAATGCGAAATTCTTCTGTATCGTAGCTTAGGGAGATCGTGATTTGAATTATGGGATAGAGTTTTTGGTTAGTGAGGAGCTAGAGATGATACAATGGCTATAGTCAGTCAGTGAGTGAATTGAAGGCAGGAGGTGGACGTGGAGACAAACGAACGAGCGAATGCACAGTGTACGTACGTATTTTGAGAAATTGGCTGCCTGCAGCTGAAAGATTCTTAAAGATGTTGAGAAAAAATGAAGAGTAGAAAGGACAGATGTTCGGAGGGGGGAATGTAGAATATATCTGTCTTGTCTCAAATAAGAGCGTCTTGGTTTTATTCTCTGAGTGAGGGTTCTTTGAAATAAAAGAAGAAGAAAGGGCTTTTTGAATGTGGGTATGAATGAATGAAACGCAACTTTTCAAAGGTTAGACAAAGGGCGCGTTGTTTGGATCATTGGACAGGAAAACCAGTCGCGTGAAAAGAGCCTAAGCGACGGAGGTGTTGAATGCAAAATTAGTGTTTCTACGGGTGGATAGACGAAAGAAAGAAAGACAGAGAAAAAGCAAAAAGCAAAAAGATCACATGAAAATAATTCCAAGGACGTGGCAGACGGAATGAGAAATGTGCGTGTTCATTATGAAGCATGTACAGTGTTGTAATCAGAATCTATGATGTGTATCGGCCTGGGTTAAGACGAGCCTGTCGGGGGCGGTGGCGGAGGATGTGACGACGACGACTCGGCTTTTTGACCTGCTTTTTGAGTTGCTTCTGCTTCTCCTTCTACAACTATATTGCTTTCTGCCTCTATCCGTTCCCTCGCCCGGAAGACTTTCGATTGAAGGTAGTGAGAGTAAAATTGACCTGGGCTTCGGGCTGTTTTTGGTGTATCGGTATTTGCAGGTGGCTGAGGTGGGGAATTGGCTTTAAATAGATGTTCGTAGTGCTGTTGAATGAATAAACAGTGTTGGTATTGGAAAGAGCTTGCTGGATAAAAACATTTAAGCGTACTTTCAAAACATTCTCCATTTCCTCTCCCCGTTTAACATTCAAAATCAAATGGGCTTCGTCCAAAGTCATTCTATGTTGACGCGTGAGCTGGTCAGTTATTGAGCTTGAGCTGGCATGTCCGACTCCTGCGACGTCGTTGCCTAGAGAGCCTGGTGTAGGTGCTCTTGCGTCTGTGGGTTTGTTATATACGAGTTGGGAATCAAGAAGAAAGAAAGAGGGCATTACTTTTAGCCGCTTGTCTTCCAGCTTCGAAAAATGCTTTGCCTAGAATTCGAGTGCCGGTTATGAGGATTTGGATGATAGCACGGGGAGAGGACTATGACAAAGAGATTAATCATTATCGGTGTGCTTCAGTGAAAGAAACAACCATTCTGAGAAGAGATTAAGGAGTTTAACTTCTGGATACGAGCCAAGCTAGGGAGTAAGGGAAGAGCAAGAGGAGACCAGTAAACTCTCCAGCAGCGATTGCGGACGAGCAGATGGAAGTATTATTTTCGAAAGAAAAATTACCGGCCTGGAATTGCCGGCAGGCAACTTTTCTTAATTTTCTTCAAAACCTCCATGCCTTCAGCACAACTAACTAAAAAACGGAAACAAGTCACAAAATCTCAGGAAGGGTCCTCAGCTGCATCGCGGAAGAAGAAAAAAGTAAAACGCGATGCGGCGTCGCATGTTGATGTTTCTCAGAACTCCTTGGATGTTTCCGGTGGTATCTTTAGTCCCGGAAACAGAGCAGAGAAGAGATTGGTGCAAGCGAAAGAGAAGGGGAAAGGCAAAGAAACAGCTTTTCAAGTCGTTCAGTCCTCCTTAGTCGTCTCTATTTCGCCTGTATTCGCCAGTGACCCCCGAGTTGGAGTAGAGGAGACGTTGGATTCGATGATTATGCGGTTGGTAAACGCTCCCATTGAACGTGG